TTATCTCCATTATCTCCATTATCTCCATTATCTCCATTATCTCCATTATCTCCATTATCTCCATTATCTCCATTATCAACAAATCTTTTTTCTCCATTTTCGTCGGTTATGAGTAGTTTACCGCTGTTTTTAATTTTATAAATTAAACTCTTGGGGTTGTCTTCTCCTTCTCACGGATTAGTTATTTTAACTTGGTCCCAACTTTTAATATTAACTAATAACTTTTTCAGCGGATTTTTTTGTTTGGTGATGGTGAATGTTTTATTGTTATTTCTTCGGTGTTTGATAATTTCTTTGGTTAGTAGGTTTACCATATTAGATTAATTTTTTACTTTTCATATTCACATACATCGACACATCGATATATATTCACTCACGCATATATATATATATATATATATTGTTTTATACAATTTCAAAAGCAAATTCGTTTCTTAAATCAAATTAATAACTAACTCTTTTACAAACTTCTATCGGTACATCAACTGGAGTTAACCTTCCCGCAAAATCAATATCGATTTTAACTCGTTTTTTTCTCCCATCAAAAGCAGTAATTTTTCCTTCGTAATTGGCAAAGGTTCCTTCCGTGATTTTTACTAAATCACCAATATTTAGACTAGAATCGTAGTTAACCTCAGGATTTTTCTTTTTTTCTTTTATTTCTAACGAGAACTTTTCAACTAATTCAGGCGAAATAAATTCGGGCAACTCTGCACTTCTGCGCTGGTGATTTAAAAAACTAACTACGCGAGGAATACTATAAAATAAATGCACTAATTCCGGGGTCAAAAAGCAATAACAAAAAACATAACCCTTTAAAAAATTTTTTTTATTTTCATCATTAAAAACTTTTAAATCGCGAACTTGATCTCTCAACCTCGTCTTAGCCAATTCAGACTCAATTTTTTCAATTATTTTTGCTTCTTGCCCGCCTCGAACCACAATAATATATCAATGATATTGCTGCATATCTCCTTTTAAATATTTTCCACGCTAATAACTTTTAAAAAACCGAAAAGGAAAAGCATACAAGAAAGAATAATCATGGTCATGATTAAACAAGAATCGAGACTTAAATCAAAAGTTAAAAACTTGAATAATTTATTATATTTTTTAATACCACTTGAAGCAGTTAACTTGGTCATATAATGGTTAAAAATCTTATTTAATATATTTTAACACATACTCTTTGACAATCACAATTAGAAAAGGATTATGTTAAATTTTTATTTTTTATCTTTCTAAAAACATTTTTTAAAACTTCTTCTCAAAAAAATTCCGCTTCCAATTTTTCTACCCTTGCTTTTTTTGGTCTAGTTACGGGGTAACGGGGTTCAAATAAAGAACAACAATCTTGATAATTAAGTAAAGAAAGTTCATAAGTTCCAATTTTTTTGGCTTCTTTAATTATTTCTTTTTTATCTCAACTAATTAAGGGTCAGAAAATAACTAACGAACTAACCGATTGAAGCACCACTAAACTCTCTAAAGTTTGAGAAGCTACTTGTGCCAATGAATCACCAGTAGCAATAGCCATAATTTTTAATTTATCAGCTAACCAACAACCTAAGCGAATAAACATTCTCTTTAAAATAATTAAGCGATATTTTTCTTCACTAATATGCCTAATTTCAGTTAAAATAGGTCGAGAATCAACTAAATAAACATCATTACAATAATTGTTATAAATACTTAATTTTGTCACAAGAGAAGTAATTTTTTCTTGACCTTCGGTTTGTTGATAAAAATGCAAATAAATGATTTCCAAACCCCTTTTCATTAATTGGTAAGCGGCTACAGGAGAATCTATTCCCCCACTCAAAAGTAGTAAAGCCTTACCTGAACTACCAACTGGCAAACCACCTAAACCACTTAATTTCTCAGTAAAAAAAAGAATAAAACGACGATAAATACGGAAATAGAAAGTTTTTTGAGGATTTGTTAAATTGACTTTTCAACCATATTTTTTTGTCACAATTGCTCCTAATTCTTTTTGCAATGTCAACGAATCTTTGAGGAAATTTTTATTGCTCCGACTAATATCTAACTTAAAGGTACTAGCATTACTCGTGCTACCCCTAAAAAAATCTTCTACAAACTGGTATAACTCACCTAAATCAGCCCTTAAACGAAAAGCAAGAAAAAATATCTCAATTCCAAACACATTCCTTAACAAAGGTAGTAAACGTGTAACTTCTTCTTTGCTATCACTTTTGGCAGTAATTATTAATTGATCAGAAAATTTTTCAATTTGGAAGTCATGGTAATCATTTTTCTGAAAAACCAAACTAACATTATCAACTAATTTTTGAATAAAATAATTTTTATTTTTACCCTTTAGGAATAGTTCTCCATAACGAACAACTAAGCAATTTTTTTTCATTTATTAATTTTGTACGTTTGTTAATACAAATTAACTTGCTATTTTTTTAACGAGACAAAAAAGTTTTTTTTTTTTTTTTTTTTGAAAAAAAATGTACTTACCCTGAACTACTATTTTCCTAATTTTATTTCTCATTTTCAACGAAAAATAAACTATGGCTGCAAATAGACTAAATCAAAAAAGGGTCAAAACAATTTTTCAGATAAAACGATAATCTCGGCCAATTCCTAGTTTCTCCGACATTTTTTTAGAACTAAGGAAGTTCATAACCCACCGAGCTCTAAATTTTTCAAAATATTTTTTATCACCTAACTTACTTCGAAAATAACCATAAGTAAAATAAAGTGTGGGCTGAATTAGGCAAAGCAAAATAGTTAATTTTAACTTCTTTTTTAATAATTTCACTTGTTCATAACAGAAAAATCACCGAATAAAATAGGCGGGGGCAATAAAGTGTCAAAGCGGTGAATAAAGCCATCATTGAACTACTTTACCAATTTGTATTCCTCTGATTTTATGGCTCGGAATGGGTACCAATTTGACAGTTTCACTAGTAATTCCCCAATAAGTAGTCAAAGCCGTAACTAACCAAATAACTAGACCAAGGCCATAAATTACCATCGTAATTAAGTTGCTAATCATAGTTATCAACGAAAAAACCTTGGCAAAATAGGTATTAGATTTAGGTCGCTTAAATTTTCAAAGAATAAAGGCTAAGGTTATAATGCTGTTTCAAGTACACCACCAAGCCAAAAAATGTCAAAAATAAGAAGCAGGAAAATTCATTTTATCCCCCCCATTAAATCATCCCGAAAGCAAACAGTAGATATGAGAAAAAAATAGAAAATAAAAAATTCGCTTTTGCTTTTTATCCATATTCGTATTCTAATTTTAAAGAAATTTTTAGATAATAACTTAACTAATCGTTTCTAAACTATCACGGATTTTGAATTTTTTTAACCAAAATATCAAAATGCTGGGGTTGATGAATAGCCATTTCTGACAACTGCTTACGGTTTAGCCCAATTTGAGCTAGTTTGAGCAAACGAATAAATCGTGAATAACTTAAATCTCTTTCTCGACAAGCACTATTAAGCCGAGTTATTCACAAGCGACGAAAATCTCCCGCTCTTTTTTTTCGATGAGCATAGGAGTCAACTCAAGCATTCATTAATTGCTCCTTTGCGGTTTTAAACAGTTTGTGCTTGGAACCAAAAAAACCTTTGGCTCGCTTTAAAACTTTTTTTCGTCGAGCTCTAGTCACTGGCGAATTTTTTACTCTTGTCATTTTTATTTTCTATTTAATAACCTCTTCTTTGTGGAGTTGAGTTTTTTGACAAAATTTGCAGTATTTTTTTAAATTCAACTTACTAACTTGCGGTTTTTTAGCCTTCGAAGTACGATAATTTTGTTGCCTTTTGGTACAAACCCCACACGTTAAAAATAAGTTAACCCGCATAAACTATACACTACTCTTCTTTCGCCGTTGTCCTCTTTTTTCTCTCTTTCTTTTCCCTTTGCTTCTTAATCGAAGCAATAAACCTATTTATTTGCTCTTGAGAAGGTTTATGCCCAAAAACTCCCATCATGTCTTCTATTTGTTTTCTATCTGTCAAATCAACTTGTTCTTGAAGATTTTTAGAATTTTTATTAAGTAATCAAAGGAGGGAAATAATGCCTAGAGCAAATCCTAAAAACAATGCTACTATACTAAGCACAATGCAAGTTATCATTGATATCATATACTTATTTTATAATATAAATGTAATTCTCACAAATACTTGACAAAACTACAAAAAGTTGAAAAACTTAAGCAGCAACAATAAATAATTTTGTTTGAACAAGCCGAGAAAAATGTTTTCTTTACTATTCAACTAAATAAGTTTATACGCGAAAATTCTCGTTAATAAATAACAACTAAATCAGAAAAAGAAAGTAAATAAACCTTTAGATTTTATCTACAATCCAAACTCGCGAGTGTAACGCCATCCTAAAATATAATAATATAAATACATTAAAAAATATGCCAACTAAACCAAAATCAACAATTGTAGGAAAAAAATTATTAGGTGAAAGAATCACTGAAAACCTAAAAAGGAAAAAAATCGCTCTAACCAAGTCTCAAGCTGAAATGGTTATTAATGAATTTTTAGAAGAAACTAAAAAAGCCTTAGTAAGAGGAGAAGAAATGAGATTCCCGGGATATTTTTCGATGAAAACTACTACCCAAGCTGCCCGGGTAGCCATGAACTTACAAACTAAAAAAAAAATGACTATTCCGGCTAAACGAGTTCCGAAGGTAAAATTTAGTGAAGAATTGAAAAAGGAAATTAGTAAAGCGAAAGCAACGACAAAAAATTTTTTTTCAAAAGACAATAGAAGAGAAGAATAGAAATTAGTATTAAATTTTTAATTTTTGAATTATTCTCATTTTAGCACTACGTGATTTGTAATTTTCACTTACTTCTTTTTTACTAGGAGTTAAAGGTTTTTTGGTAATTATTCGGAATTTTCCAAGTAAATTATACTTTTTGAATATCTGCTTAACAATACGATCTTCTAGAGAATGATAACTAATAGCAATAACTTTTCCTCCTAATGCTAGATATTTAAAAGCACTTTTTAAAGCTCGGGAAAGATTCTCTAACTCTTTGTTAATGAAGATACGAAGAGCTTGAAAGATCTTGCGAGCCGGATGCTTATTTTTCTTATGAGGAAAACAGGCAGCAACTATCCTAACCAACTGTTGAGTACTAATAATTCTTTGCTTTTCACGTCAGTAACAAATTTTTTTAGCGATAAGCCGTGCTTTTCTTTCTTCACCATAATAATAAAAAATATCGGCCAACTTTTCTGAAGAATAATTATTTATAATATCTTCTGCTTTTAGTTTCTCTTCTTGATTTATTCTCATATCAAGCGGTGAATCTAATCGATAACTAAAACCTCTGCTTTCTTCGGCCAACTGGTAAGAAGAAATTCCTAAATCAAATAAAAACCCATCTATTTCCTTTAAATTAAGACGCTTAAAATTTTCTTCCAAATTAGCAAAATTATCTTTAATTAAATAAAAGTTTAGGGAAGAAAAAAATTTATCGTTTTGAACCATTTGAATAGTTTTTTCGTCTCATTCAAAAGCAACTAACTTTCCTTTTTCTAATTTTTTTAAGATAGCGCGAGAATGACCGCCACTACCAAAAGTACAATCAACATAAACTCCATCTTTTTTTATATTGAGGTAATCAAGAACCTCCCTTAACATTACTGGAATATGTACTTTAAAAGTTTTTATCATCAAAATTATTTTCTTATTTTTATTTTGAAGTACTAAATACTTAAAATCTTCGATTTAATTACGCTTTATCATCTACGTCAATTTTTAACAATAAGCCTTCTAGTTTAGCAGGCAAACCATCTAAACAGAAACTAAAATAACTAGTTCCATAAAAAAAATTTTTACTTATTTCCTGAAAAAGAAGGTGAGGGAAAAGGGTTAAGTCAATATATTCATTGATTAGTCGATTAAGTTCGTCAGGTTGAGAAGGAATCGGACAGTTATCAAATCATTTTTCTACACTTGGATTATATCTATTTCTTAAATATTCTTCCACTACTTCAACAGTTTGAGGAGTAGTGGATTTGAAATATTCAATTTGAAATTTTATCCAATCAACACTTCCATCCGTTTTTCGCGGAATAATCGACATCAACCGAAATATTTTCTTTTCCGAAACGATTTGATTATATTTTTTTTTGAACTCCTGATCTGAACTTGGCAAAGAAGTAAAAATGTTAACTACTTTTTGCTTGATTAATTCATTGTCGCGGTCTTGAATTTCTTCAAAACTATTAATTACATATCTATCGCCTTGATAAGGAACTGAAGAAAGAAGCGACAAAATTTCAGTTTCAGACAAAAATATTTTCGCCAAAACCTCTTTTTTAACTTTTTCCTCTTGTAGGTTAGGAATATCAGAAGGATTAGGAGGATCATCTGGTAACTCAGGAGGAGGGTCACCTGTCATTCTAGGGCAAAACAAATCACCCTCAGAATGAAAATATCTCTTAATTTTTTTCTTAGATTTAATACTAGAATCTAAGATGACATCAATAACTTTTCTCCCACAATGAGGACAAAATAATTCTCCTCTCAAAAAACTTTCGTATTCATTTTCAGAATCTTCTTTATGTTGATAAGTAGTTTGTGAATAAAAAAACTTTCTCCCATAAAAAACTAGCAGTAGACCAAAAAGTGCTAGTAAACTAGAAATTCCTAGAAAAAAGATTTTTTTTTTTTTTTTTTTGCCAAGTCCTCCATTTCATTCTACATTTAAATCGTTATCTACTCCTACTCTTCTCTATTTTCCTGCCGACCAACAATAGGCTTTCGAAAACTAAAACCTTTATAAACTAAACAGTGAGAGCAAACTTGATGAAGAATTTTTTTTTTTTGACAACTAAGGCACGTGATAAGTGGCTGAGCCGAAAAACTCTTTTTTTGAAAAGCTCAATTCTTAGGTCCTCGCCCTTTTTTAATTCTAGTAGATGATTTTCTACGAAATGGAACTGCCATATTTTTATTTTTTACTTTACTTACAATGCCATGAACTTATTTTTCCTGAATTACGAAAATTGAAACCTCTTAGCAAATTTTTCTTAGTATAACTAATCCTTTTTTTGGACCAGGAACTGCTCCTCGAACAAAAATAATTTGATTTTCCTTATCAATTTTTTCTATTACAGACTTTTGCGTAACTTTCTCATTACCCATCCGACCTGGCATCTTTTTACCTTTCGGGATGCCTTGATTAGTACCTCTACCACCGCCCATAGAACCGATTAACCGATGAGGATAGCCGCCACCATGGGACATATTTCCAATTTTGAAACCATACCTTTTAACTACCCCCGCAGTACCTTTTCCCTTAGAATTTCCAGTAATTTTAACTTCCTCACCTTCTTTAAAAAGAGCTAAATCAATTAAAGAACCTTGTTCAAATCCAGTCATATCTCTTATTTCTCGCACGTTTCTCTTAGGAGAAATATCTTTCAAATGACCTTTTAAAGGTTTATTAAGTTTTTTTTCAGGACAATCTCCAAAAGCCAACTGACATGCTTCATATCCTTCTTTCTGAATAATCTTAGTTTGAGAAACAATATTACCACCCACTCACACAGCAGTAACTGGAACAAAACCTCTTAAATTTAAAGGTACTTGAGTCATACCGATCTTTTTGCCTAAAATCCCAATCGTTTTCATTTAATTTATATTTTATACCTATGTGATAACTAACAAATATAAAAAAGTTAAAAATATTATTTTTCTATCTTTTGTTTCCTCTTAACAACTGTTTTAAACTGCCAGTGTCAAAACTAACTCTACCCAACTCTTTCATACGAGCCTTACCTTTTTTTTGCTTAGCCCATAACTTCATTTTCCTAGTTCGATCACCTCCATATAAATTACCAGTGACATGCTTTTTCAAAGCTGGTAAAGTTTCCCGAGCAATTACTTGTTTACCAATACAAGCCTGGATTGGTACCGAAAAATTCTGTTTATTAAGCGTCGTTTTCAAGCGTTCACAGATCACTTTAGCTCGATCATAAGCAAAATCTTGATGTACTAAAAAAGATAAATCCGAAACCAACTGACCATTAAGTAAAATATCTATTTTAACAATATCACTAGGGCGAAAGCCAATTAACTGATAATTAAATGAAGCATAACCATGGGAAATAGATTTTATTTTATCATGAAAATCAATAATAAACTCAGCAAACGGCAAGTGATAATTTAATTGATAAAGCAGTCCGGATTTTCATTCTTGAGACTGATAAACACCACGCTTACTTTGGCATAATTCAGAAATTGCTCCTAAATATTCTTCAGGAGTAGTGATATCTAAGGAAATATAGAGTTCCTTGAAACTTTTTACTTTGTCTTTACTAGGTATTTTTTGGGGATTATTAGTTTCTAAAATTTCATCATTAGCATACACTATTTGGTAAGTAACACTAGGAGGAGAAACAATAATTTCTAATTCATATTCTTTTTGAACCCTTTCACAAATAATTTCCCGATGTAATAAACCTAGAAATCCGCAACGGAAACCAGGCCCTAATAGTTGAGAATCAATGCTTTCCAAACTTAAACTACTGTCTTGAATTTGCAATTCTTCTAAAGCTTTTTTGAATTCTTTGTATTGAGAACTATCACTAGGATATAAATTAGAATAAACATTTGGTTTTATCTCTTGATAACCTTCTAATGGTAGAGCATCACTATCTAAGTCGAAAACAGTATCGCCCACTTTTACTTCTCGCATATCACGAATATTAGCTGTAAATCAACCAATTTCTCCGGTAATTAATTTTTCTTTCAAAACTTCTTTAGGGGTTTTCACTCCCAATCTTTCTACTTGATAAGTCTTTTGCTGATTGGTGTGAAACTTAATTTTTTGCCCTTTTTTTAGTTCTCCCTCAAAAATGCGAGTATAAATCACTACGCCATAATAGCGGCTATAAAATAAATCAAAAATTAAAGCTTTTAAAGGTCGGTAATCCTTTAAGAGTGAAGAATTTATTTTTTCTAGATTAACTTTCATAATTTTTTTAATCCAATTTTGGTTCAATTCCGCAATAATCCCTATACTCTTGAATAAATTCTTTTAATTTTTGTAAATCACTGGTATTTTTAATTGCTGGAAAGAATCATTCTCCTGCTCCTAAATGACCTTTTTTTGAATATTCAAAATTATATCTTCTCAGCATATTTAGTAAATTTTGGGAAATTTTTTTAACTTCTCTAAAACCTCAATAATTTCTAATATATGTTTTGCGAGAAATTAAAGAAAACAAGACTGGTCTAGAATAACCTTTTCAAAAATAATTTATATAATAGCCGCTAGGAGGAATGCTTGAATCAAAGATTTCAGAAATTCATTTGTCAAAGTCTAATAAAAGTTTTTCAATTTCTTGGCTTGGCTTTCATTCTTGAATAACTTTTGAAACTGTTCAATTATTAGTTGCTTTCGGTTGAGAAGAAACTTGATAAATAGTTTTGGCAGTTTGCGAGCCAACTTTTAGCCATCCAACTATCTTTTCAATATCAATGTGTAAAATTTCATGGTCATAGAAAGTTATTTTTACTAATTTAACCTTTTTATCTTCTTTGCGAATTAAAGTTTTTTGATAGCCATGAATATCAGTGATAATACAAATAGCTTTAGTTTCGTCTCAATTAATTTCTTCCTCTTCCCAATAATTATCTTTTCTCTTTTTTCTTAATACTTCATTGCTATCTAAAAGTCTTAACAACTTATGCCGATTGCGAAAAACAGTTTTGTCGCTTTCATCTTCTAAGCATTCCATATATTCTTCTACTTGATAAACTAAGTCGGCTGCTTTTTCTCTTTTAAATTCAATGATTAAAAAAGTATTATCTCTTTTATTGAATGCTATGGTATCTACTATACAATTTTTATTTTCTACGGGGTGTTTAAGCGAGCATTGTTGTTTTAAAGGAATTAAATCAGGAAAAATGTTTTCTAAATTTTCTGAAAAGAGGCTTTCAATATATTTTTCTTTTTTTCCTTGCTCCCTTAAATTTATTACTTCTAGTCTTTTCAAAGGATTTAATTGAAAAAGAAGAAATTTATCTTTCTCACTATTCATATTTTAATTTTACCCGTAAAGGCGGGGGGATATCAGCGATAATTTTTTTTAATAATAAATCTATATTTAGACCGGTTTTGGCCGAAATTAAAACTATGTCACTAACTTGGCAATTCAGTAATTCAACTAGTTGGTTTTCGGTGGCTGTTAACTGAGCCGATGGCAAATCAATTTTATTAATTACTGGCAAAATCTTTAAGTTAAGGCTTTTAGCGATTTCATAATAAGCCAGGGTTTGAGCTTGAATACCTTTAGTTGCATCTACTAATAAAATAACTCCTTCACAAGCGGCTAAAGAACGGGAAACTTCATACATAAAATCGACATGTCCGGGAGTATCAATGAGATTAAAGACATAAGGTTCAAAACTTTCAGGAGGATAGTATAATTGAACTGCATTTAACTTAATAGTAATTCCTTTTTCTTGTTCAAGGGAGAGGCTATCGAGCACTCTTTCTAAGGATTTATTGCTATTTTTTAGGTTAGTTTTTTCTAGTAGACGGTCGGCCAAAGTAGATTTTCCATGATCAATGTGAGCGATAATTGAAAAATTGCGAATCTTAGTAGAATTAATTTTTTTGGAAACTTCATCAAGGTGATTTGACATATAGGGATATTTTTAACTGATAAAGAATCAACTTAAATAGTTATCTAATGAAAGTAAAATTTCTAATTCTTAGAATGTTTTATCCACTTAATTAATTTTCCTTAACTTTTTCTCATTTATTAAACCTTTTTTCCCTCTTTCTCTAAGTTTTTCTTACACCGCATTCACAGTTACTCCCCCCTAAACAATCAACGATAGAGAGAGTAAAATAAATTGCTGCTTTCCTGTTCATAAATCTACTATTTACTTATAATTGTATATTAATATACCACTACATAATATTAGGTGCGGTTATCCCCATCAAATCCAACCCCAGTTTTAAAATTATTTGAATATTTTTGACTAAAAGTAGTTTTTGGGCAGTTAATTCGGGAGTTTTAGATTCTAAAATAATGCTATTTTGGTAATAGACTTGCCAAGTTCGGGCTAATTCATACAAGTAATATATCAAATGGTGGGGTTTATTTTCTGCTCTAATGTTCTCTAAAACCAACGGAAAGCGAACTAATAAATTAAATATTTCTCTTTCGTTTTGCTCTTTTAATAAATCGATTCTGGAACTAATTTTCCCCATATTTTTCTGAAAGGCCTTCTGAAAAATTTGATGGCAACGAGCATAAGCATATTGGATATAATAAAGCCGAGTCTTTTCTTTGTTCTCTTTTAATAATTCAGCATTAATGGAAAGAGGTTGATTAGGTTCCTTTTCCAATAAGAAAAACTTTAATTGGTCTATTTCCAAGTATCGCAAAGTTTCTTCTAGTTCAATAGTATTGCCGGCTCGCTTAGAAAACCTCTCCGTTTGCCCTTCTTTAGTAAGCAAATTAACCATTTGAACTAAAATTATTTGTAATTTTCCTGGATCATATCCTAATAACTGCCAAGCGCTTTTCAAGCGAGCCACAGTTCCATGATGATCAGCTCCTCAAACGTAAATTAATTTATCGGCTCTTTGCAATTTATTCAAAAAGTAAAGAATATCGGAAAAAAAATAAGTGTAATCGCCATCTTGTTTAATGATTACCCGGTCTTTATCGTCTCCTCCTAAAATACTGCGGAAAAAAGTCGCTCCCTCTTGGATATAAATCAATCCTCTTTTTTTTAGTTCTTCTAATAACTTTAAGTGCTTATCTCTTTCATATAAACTTGTCTCCGAAAATCAAATATCAAATCTAATCCCGCACTTTTCTAAATCTTGACGAATTTTGGTCAAAATTAAATTCAAAATTTCTCTCTTTCAATCCTCTAATTCTTCCTCATTTAATTTCTTATTAATGTACTTAGAACCTCACTTTTCTATTAACTTTTGAGCTAATTCTTGACTTGAATGACCTGAATACTCTATTTTTTTTAAATTTGGAAGCGAAACATTTTGTATTTGATGATAAAAATGATAAACCGAACTAACTAAAGAAGTAATTTGCCCTCCACGGTCATTAATATAATATTCCCTAATCACTTCATAACCACCAAATTGATAAACATTAGCCAAAGTATTACCAATAACTGCATGTCGAAAATGGGCTAAATGGAGATAGCCAGTGGGATTGGTAGAAACATATTCTAGATTCAGTCGAAGGCCTTTTTTTTCACCACAAAAATTTTGACCCTCTTTGGCTAATGTTTCAATAAAAAATTGTTGATAATAAGCAGTAGGAAAACGAAAGTTAATATAACCTTGCTTAGTAATAGTGTATTCTAAATTAAAACAAGCAGTTGCTTTTACTATTTCATGAGCCACTTCTAGGGGATTTTTTTTAATTTTATGGGAAATAGATAATGCCAAAACAAGAGCAAAATCAGCTTTAACAGCATCTGGCAGTTCCCATTGAAGAAAAGTATTCTTTCAAGTAATATTATGTTTCTTGGCAATTTTTTTTCAAACAGCCAAAAGGTTGTTTAAATTTAGACTATTTTGCATTGAATTATTTTAATTTTTGACCCTTTTTTGCCTATAATAACCTTCCTAAAAACTAACGCAACAAATGAGTACTATTATTAAGCACTATGGTTTAAAAAAGGACTCTGTTAACACTGAAAATACCTAAAGAAGGTGAATTTTTACTAACCCTTTTTCTTTAATATTTGACAAACTCTTCATTCTTAACTTAGAAAATAATTTTTTTCCATCCATGTTAAGTCAATTTTCAATTATGGCGCGCTTGAGAGGAATTGAACCTCTGACCATTTGAACCGCAATCAAATATTCTGTCCACTGAACTACAAGCGCTTTTTCTTATCTTAATGTGGTTTTATTATGAAAAAGCCTGCCATAATTTTTTTGTTTCTAAAAACCTATATATGTTTTATGAATATGACTTAATCATTATCGGAGCTGGACCAGCTGGATTAACTGCTGCTATTTATGCTCGAAGAGCTCTACTCAAAACCTTAATTTTAGAAAAAACTTTACCAGGTGGGAAATTAAACAAAACTGAAGATGTAGATAATTATCCAGGCTTTACTTCAATTAAAGGCCCAGAACTAGCAACAAAAATGACTGAACATGCTAAATATTATGAGATCGACTGGGAACAAGGAGAAGTAACAAAAGTGGAAAAAAAAAACAAAAGGTTTATCGTAAAAACAAACGAAGCAAACATTTTCAATAGCAAGGCAATTATTATTGCTTCGGGAGCAATTGAAAACAAGTTAAAGATCAAAGGAGAAGAAGAACTAACTAACCTAGGTGTTTCTTATTGTGCTATCTGTGACGGTTTTCTCTTTCGAGAAAAAGTTGTAGTGGTAGTTGGCGGAGGATATTCAGCTCTAGAAACAGTTTTATATATGAGTAATATAGCTAGTAAAGTTTATTTAGTTCACCGACGCACTGATTTTCGTGCTGGAAAAGAAATAGTAGAAAAAGTTAAAAACAATTCAAAAATAGTTATCTTTTCAAACTCGATTTTAGATGAAATTGTAGGAAATCAAAAAGTAGAAAAAGTAATTATCAGCAATTTAATTAGTAATGAAATAAGTGAATTATCAACTGACGCGGTTTTTCCTTGCATCGGCCTTTCACCTCTAAGTAATTTCACCCATGAACTAGGCATTTGTGACCAACAAAATTACATTTTCATCAGAGACGATTGTTCCACTTTAGTTCCTGGTTTGTTTGCAGCAGGCGATGTAGCTCGAAATAATGAAAATAAAATTAAACAAATTGTCACTGCTACTGCCGAAGGAGCTATTGCTGCCCAATCAGTAATCAAATACTTAGAAAATTTTTAAAATGAATTTTCTATTTATTATAATGTGCAAAATTATTGCTATTTTTTAACCTAAAAGAATAAACTTTTCTCTAGTTTTAGTTATTTGCTTTTTTTAAAAAACTTAATTTTTATTTAAACATAGTACTACTATTTCCTTATAAAATTTCGAGTTGCATGCAAAACATGCACATATAAAAAAATAAAAAACGAAATAAACTACGAGAGAAAAAAAAGAGAATTGAAACTAAAAAAAATTATTCGTAAAATGAGAAATAAAAAAAGAATAATTAAAATATAAAAAGAAAATCTGACACGAGAAGTAAGGTAATCGTATTTTTCTCCTAAACTTTCGATTCATTTGAGTATAGAATAAGAAAAAAAAATAAGAATTAGAAAGTAAATAGACAAAAACAATCCTTCCAAAAGTTCATTCATAAGTATTTTTACCTCAAAGATGCAGACCCAATCCCCACGTGACTCTTATGGCGGCTGAGAGTATTAAAAAAATCTTTTAATAAGTAAGCATGGATAATTTTAATTACTGATGGAAATTTTTCTTTGGTTATTTACTAATGTCGTTTATTTCTCTCGCCTTTTCAGTTCATTTTTTTATTTTTTCTTGAAGAAATCCCTCTCGCCGTTGGTTTTTTTTAATACTATCGTTTTTTATTTTTTTTCTTTCGATTTTTTTATTAATTTTTGTTTTTTGAGTATACAACAAAAAATTTAAATAGTTGAAAGTATTTTTTTCGTTTTTATTTTTCTTTAAGAAGTTTTTTATGTAAGGATTTGTGTGTCGGCAGAATTTTTAAGTAAATAAATTTAGGTTTAAAAAAAATAAAAAAGTCTGTGGTAAAGTGAAATAAAATGATTTAAGAGTGTCGGTTGGGAATTAATCTTACTCAAAAACTAGTGCAGCATTATATGCCGTTGCCATAAAAATTATAAAAACTAACCTTCTACTTTTACTATTTTTATTTCTGTATATGGTTCCTGGTGACCTCAAAATTTTTTTCGTCGCTTTTTGGCTTGATATTTCATCCCAAATATTTTCCTGTTTTTTCCATTTTCAATCACCTCTCCAACTAGTTTAATTGGTAAATAAGGCTGACCGAATTCTTTATCTCTTTGCATAATTTTGTCAAAAACTATCTCATCCCCTACTTCAACTACCTTTTTTTCTCCCGATTCGGTTAATTTTTTTTGTAAAGGAATTCGGAGAATTTGGTTTTTTTTTTGGGGAAATCAGGGAATTTGTTTGCCTTTTAAGTCTATTAATATTTTTTCAATTTTGACATTCATAATAAAATATTTTAGTAAAAAATTTTGCTGAGGAACTAATAAAATTAATAAATATGGATAATAAGAATTGAATAGAATGTTTTGCTAAATGAATTAATAAATTTATCGGGAAATGAGCGATTCCTTTCACAACTCCCTTCTTTGCTCTTTACAATTGTTATAAATTAATGAGTTGTGTTAAGAATGAGTTCTTAAGAGCATTAGTATTTATCATTAGCATGATTTATGTATTAATGAGTCTTGGTCTAGCTTTTTATTATGTATTTACCAACAACAATTCATAGCAAAGAATGAAATTAAAGGCAATACTTTTCTCTAAGTTTTTTTTTGTCACAATCCGGCTTTAACAAACTTTTTATCGGTTCATAACTTTTCCGGTGTAGGTCGCAAATTCCATAGCGAAAAATAGCAAGTAAGTGACTTCGGTCAGGATAACCTTTATTTTCAAATCAATTATAAAAAGGGTATTTTTTGTGTAATTTTTGCATAAAATTATCTCGTGTTACTTTAGCAATAATCGAAGCTGCCGCAATATTGATCGATTTACGATCACCTCCAATAACACTAATTGTTTTAATTCCTTCTATTTTTACTTCTTCCTTGCCATCAATTAAACACAAATTGGGTTTAGTTTGTAGTTTTAGAATAACTTCAACCATTGCTTCTTTTGTTGCCCCTAAAGGATTCTTTACTTCTACTTCCTGAGAACTTTTAAATGAAACACTGTATTCCACTGCAACCTTTTTAATTATTCAATAAACTTTTTTCCTCTGATTAGGACTAAGGATTTTTGAATCTTGAATTAATGAATTTTGGAAACCGGGGGGTAAAACGACAGCAGCCACTACTATTGGCCCCGCTAATGCTCCTCTTCCAGCTTCGTCAACACCAGCAATTATGGGGTAATCATCCCAAAGGTTTAACTCTAAATCTAGACTTTTTCTCACCACTTATGACAAAATTAATAATTATTTTTTACCTCACTATGAAAAAAAGTAAAGAAATTCACAAAAACTATAGCCTAATTTTTATAGTATAAACAACAATTACTAAAATCAAAGGAATTGGTAGAGTAAGAAATCAGAGAGGAAGCGCACCACTTAAATAAAAAGACAGTAACTTTTATCATTATTACAAAACGGAGAACTAAAAAAAATATTTCTTCTACTTTCTACTTTGCGAAAAACAGTAATAATGAAAGAAAAAGAAAAATTTCTAGTAATTGATGGCAATAATTTACTCTATTCTTCTTACCACGTTTCACAAAAATTAACTTGGAAAATGAAAAATGGGACTATATTTTTCTTTTTACGCGTACTAATTAGCATCCTTAAAAAAGGAAATTATCAGCATTTGTTGATCACCTTTGACGGAGGAGGAGTTAATTTTCGGGAAAACTTACTACCCCAGTATAAAGCACAACGAATAAGCATGCCCGATGAACTATGAAAACAACTAGAAGAGTTAAAAATACTACTAGAAAAAATCAACGTTACTTACATCCAAATGATTGATTGCGAAGCTGATGACCTAATTGCTTCTTTCGTTGTTCAGAGCAAAAAAATCTATCCTAACGCTACTTTTGATATTTTTACTCGGGATAAAGATCTGCTCCAACTACTCAGCGAAAATGTTAATATTTTAAAGTATATCGAGGGAAAAATAACTCATTATACCTTTAATCACTTTTGTCAAGAATATAATTTTTTGCCCTCAAATTATTTAGATTATTTAAGTCTTTTAGGCGACAATGTTGATAATATTGCTGGAGTAAGGGGGGTTGGACCAGTAATTGCTAAAAAACTAATCCAACAATTTCAAAATGTTGAAAATATTTTTAAAAACTTGTCCAATTTGCCTAAAAATACTGAAAAATTATTAGAAAATCAACAAGAACTAGTTGGTGTTAACAAGAAAATTATTAGTTTAGTAACTGACATTCCCTTACCTCCTGACTTATGTCAAAAGTGTGAATTCAATTGAGAACAATGAAAAAACAATGAACAACTAAAAAAATTTTGCCAAGAAAATCGATTCAATAGTATTCTTAAATTATTGAATTAATTAAATCGGATTGCAATTGGTACCCAAAGTGGGACTTGAACCCACACGAGCCTGCGCTCAGATGGTTTTGAATCACCCGTGTCTACCGTTCCATCCATTTGGGCACAGGGTTGTTTAATATAATAATATTTTAAATAATTAAAACTAATTCTTTATTTCTTGCTTAACTTTTAACCGACCTTAATTTGTTGAAAATATAAGACTATCTAGTAAATAATATTCTACTTTCAACTAAATATAGTCCAAAAATAGAATTCTTTCTTATCGATCAGAACCAGTTGATGTTATTTTACCTTGAAAAATTGGTAGCGGGGGAAGGATTTGAACCTCCGATCTCCGGATTATGAGCCCGACGAGTTAGACCACTACTCTACCCCGCGATCTATAATTAATATAATTTTAAATGTTTTAAAAGAATTTAGTCTTTTTCTTGTTCAATATTCAGTAAAGAACAAGTATAATTATTCCAGCTATTCCGCTAATTATTAATATTTTTTTGGTAGTATTTCATTTATCAAAATTATTATAATCTCTTTGAAAGGGGTCAATTTTAATAAAAATATTTTTTTCTAAAAACTCGACTACATCTTTATCTTTTCAGGTATGCCCTAATCCTGGGTAAGTTTTGAATTCCACATTGTAACTTTGTTCTTGTAAAATTTGGTAAGTTTTTTGTCCGGTCCAAAAAGGAACTCAACTGTCTCTTGAATTATTAACAATCAAGATTGGGGTAATTTTATTCTGGTTTTTGGTAGTCGTTAATAATTTATCATGACAAGGTAAAAGACCACATAAAGAAATAAAACCACCTAATCTGTGTTTAGTGGTTAAGGCGGTGGCTAAGGTTAATAAAGCTCCCTGCGAATAGCCAGCCAGGACAATTTTTTCTGCTGGAATACCGAGAGCAATTTCCTCTTCGACAATCTCATTGACATAGTCAGCTGCCCTCATTAACTGCGGATAATCTAAATGAACCGATTGAATTATTTCCTCATAATTAATTCGAGAAGGGTTACTGGGACAAATATCTTGTTCCATTAATTCATAAACATCACCTGTGACATTAATTCAACCTCGGGCTTGGCCGCCAGGTGCTGGATTTGAACCATGTCACATATCATATTGTAAAATCGGGGCGTGAGGATGAATGACTTTTAATCCTGGAAATTTTTCAGTCATTTGGTCTAACGAACCAGCTCCGCCAGTTCCGTGCAAAAAAATGAGAGTAGAAGTGTGTTTTTCTTTTGGTCTTGTCGATTTAGGGAAAGGAATAATTATTTCTTCCTGCCCACCTCTAAACAGTAAATCTCAAAAAAAAATGTCGTAGTTATGGGGTGAATAGACAACTTGCCCAGTTTCTTCGTTAACTAAAAATATTTTTTTTTCCTTTCTCCTAGTCCTTCATTTTTCTTTGGAATTTTCAACATAATCAAATATCTTTTTTGCAACTTCTCGTTGCGCTAATCCTTCTAATTTAACTATCTCAACTTTATCACTATTTTTCGGGTCATAAAGTCAAGCGTGAAGTCGTTCATAATTAAAATCTACTTCAGTTAACACTTTATCGAATCTTTCTTTAACAATTTGCTCGGTAGTTAGACTTTGAAATCTAATTTTTCCCTGGTAGGAGGCTTGTAATTTTTGGCGAACCCCGGTTAAGTTTGGATCAACCCACTTTTGACTATCTTTAATTCTAATAAAATCACCGTGATGAGTAATAATTCATTCACCAGGCTTATTAATTATTTCCTCCTTCGTAGTCATAATTATTTTTTCCTTAAAGTTTTAATTAGAGAAGGAAAATTTAACTTATATTTAATTGCTACACCCAGTATAAAAACTTTCTATAAACCTTATTCATTGTCTTTCTTTTTGGCTAATTCTCTCTCAAGATAATATAATTTGGCTCGGCGAACTTTGCGCAAAATTTTGCCGGTTTTCTTAATATTTATCACAAATGGAGAATGATAAGAAAAAGTACTCCTAATTGCTAATTTATCACTCCCTTTGCTATCTCTTAGTACAGAAAAAGTATGACTAATTTGCCCTTTATTTTTTTGAGCAATCACCGTTCCTTTGAAGTGAGTAAGCCGAGATTTTGGGATTGAACCGGTTTTTTCTTTTTTACTTGGGCTAAAATGCTTGGTAATAACCTCAACTTTATCACCTATTTGGAGGGAAGGAAGATCAGTGCGAAAGTACTGTTTATTTATTTGATAAAGGGTGTCCATAAATATATTTTTTTTAACTAATCGTAATTAACTCTGTTATTTCTCTTACGGAAGAATAACCAACCACTTAAACCAATTATTATCACTCCGCCTACTGCTAGCGGACCAACTTTTCGCGGATCTTGATATCATTTCTTTTGCTTTTGACTTTTGACAAAAAGCATTTCACTTAGAAACTTCTTTTTCATCTCTTCGCTTTCTAAATGTTTTTTAAATAAGGATAATAAACTCATAGGATTAGGATTTTCGGGCGATTCAGGAGGAGGGGTACTTGGTAATACTTGTTGAATATATGTTCCTATTCTATTTAGTACTGTTTCAGTTTCAGTAGGAGAAATTTGTTTGTTTGGAATTCCAACCACTAACTTATTGAAATGGTTAGTAAGCCTAATTAATAATTCTTTAAGTCTAGACTTTTCCCCTTCTAGGGCTTTTTCTAGTAAAAATTCCAAGCCATAATTACCATTGGTTGATTCAACAACATTTTTAAAAATATCGAAAGCATTTTTAATCGACTCTGGTTCAAAAATAGTATCAATTAAATCTAATACTAGTTTAAATGGTTCTTTTAAAAAAATAGGTCTGATACCAAATCCCGGTAAATTCTTTTTTGGTAATTCAGCAAAAGCATCTAGTGCGAAGGCTTTTAATTTCTTCTTTAAGATTATTATTTCATCAGTACTAATGCTTTCGAGAATACTCTTAACACCTTTTCATTGAGCTATTTTTTCCTCCTTTTCTTTTGCTTGTTTAAAAAATATTGAAATTAACTTTTTCTCTTTTTCTACCACGCTTGTTTCTGTTTTATAATAATCAGCAACGCGTGGTCTTTGGTCAGTTATTTTTTTGACTTCTGGAACCAATAACGAAAACACACTTGTAATTTTTTGTTGAGTATTTAAATCACTTCGTTCCTTTAATCGAGCAACTTGATAGAAAACATTTTCATTAAAAATAGTGAATTTAAGATCTATTGCTGTGTGAACAAGTTTTTTTACCTCTTCCTTTAAATCATCACCGACCATTCGAGCAACAAAAGGTTGCAATTGCTCATCTCATCACTCTTTAATAACCTCTTTCAAAACAATTTTTAACTGCTTTCAATCCTCAATTTCATAATCTTTCACTTTTTCTCAGATTTTTCCTAAATCCGTCAAAGTAATTTTACATAAGAATGCACGGGAAAGGAATCTTTTAACCTGTTTTTTTTCTTCCTGATTAGGCATGATTTATTATTATTTATATTATTATTATATGTATTTTATCTTACTACTTTTATTAATTAAACTTCTTTCTTTTTACTAATCTAATTTTACTTAGCCTTCAAAGATTAGGATTGAGAACAATTTTATTACTGTTTTTGTACTTTTTTTCTTGTTGTTGAGTTTTTTCTTGACTATTTTTGGTTCGCCACTCAGCAATCTTTTTATGACATCCGGATAACAAAACTTCCGGAACTAGGAAATCATTAAAGTTTTTTGGACGAGTATAAGCAGCAAAGTCTAATTGAGAATTAAAAAAAGTTTCTTGCTGATAAGATTCTAGTTCAATAACGCCTGGGATAGCCCGAATTAGCGCCTCAGTAATTAATAAAGCTGGTATTTCGCCTCCCATCGTGACAAACTCACCAATAGAAATTTGTTCATCTATATAATGTCAAATACGTTCATCAAATCCTTCATAATGTCCACAAACAAAAACTAGATTAGGAGAACGATTAAGCAACCGCGGCACATCTTTCTGTTTAAAAGTTCGACCTTGGGGCGAAAGTAAAATAAGATAACTATCTGGATAAGTTTCTTGAATGGTAGCCAAGGCACGAACTAATGGTTCTATTTTCAAAACCATTCCAGTTCCTCCTCCATAGGGATAATCATCCACCTGACCCTTGACCGCAAAATCCCGCAAATTATAGACTTGATAACCAAACATTTTTTTTTGATAAACTTTCTTAGCCAAAGAAATTTGGAAATAATTGTGAAAATATTGAGGAAAAAGGGTAAGATAAATAAAATTAGTCCTCATAAAAGTGTTTTATTAATTTCCTTTTTTATTAAAATTAGAAATTCTCAAAAATGAGATAGTTGATTGACTAACTCCTTACAATAAATAATAAAATTGTAAGAAGTTTCGGTTTATTATTATAAATTTATTATAAAATAATATATATATATATATATATTTACAGAACTTTTTTTAATACTAAGTATTAAGATTGAAAAAGAATTTAAGTAAAAAATAAAGAGTTTTAGTAAATAATTTTACAAGAATTTAAGGTTAATTTCTCTCTATTCATTTTTGTCTATATGAAAGTAGATAAATATGCAAAGAAAGGAAAACTTAACTCCGATTGGAGAAAATAAAGGAATTGAGATTGCCAATTCCCAACTTAAACAGCAATCACTAGTAAAAATAAAAGGAACTTTAACTTCTCAAATTAGAAAACGCGAAGAGGATAGTCCTTATTATTACGCTTTTGTTAAACTAAAAGGGCATGGAGCCGATTTACCGGTCATATTTAAGATTAAGCAAAAAAAATGTAAAGTTGAACCTTGTTTAGAATGTAATTATCCTAAAAAAGGAAACTGAGAAAAACAAGCCAATTGTCAAACTAAGCAAATCGAGCATAAAGTTGAGGAAAGCTGAATCAAGCCTAAATTAGAAAAGGGCAATTTAGTCCAATTAACGGGTCATTATTCTAACTCAGATAAGAACATCAG